CTCAGCCCTGTGCCCAGCCGAGCGTGCCCCGCGCCGCGGGCAGGGCAGGGCAGGGAGGCTGGGCCAGCCCTGCCCCTGCTCAGAGCTGTCCCGTGCAGGGCAGCAGTGGCCGCGCCAGCCGCAGGAACACGGGCGAGAAGATCAAGTACCGACTGGTGGCCGTGCCCCACGGCAATGACATCGCCTCCCTCTTCGAGCTCGACCCCACCACGCTGCAGAAGACAGACTCCTTCGTCCCGCGGTGCGTGCCCCGTGGAGGGGGCGTGAGGGTGTGGTGTGAGGGTTTGGCAGTCTGTTCTGGGGATGGAGTGGGTGCCGGTGTGTCTGTCTGGGGACACCCACCAGGACACTGTGCCCTTTGCAGGAATTCCTACGTGAGGCTGCGCCACCTCTGCACCAACACCTGGATCCAGAGCACCAATGTGCCCATCGACATCGATGAGGAGAGGCCCATCCGCCTCATGGTACGACCCTGCTCCCTCCCTGATCCCATTCCCAGAGAGTGCTCCCAGCACCCAGGCTTTGCCAGGGACTGAAACACCCTGGATGCTGCGAGGGGGTGGATGGACACCAGCCTGGAGCCCATCCCAGTAATCTAGAGGCCACCCAGCACTTCTGATGGGGACAAACTGGGTCACTGGTGTCACCTGGGTGGGTTACAGGTGGTGGGGACACGCTTGGCACTGCCCTCTCTGTATGATGCTGCTTCCCTGTTGCTTCCCAGCTGGGCACATGCCCCACCAAAGAAGACAAGGAAGCTTTTGCCATCGTCTCCGTGCCTGTGTCCGAGATCCGGGACCTGGACTTCGCTAACGACGCCAGCTCGATGCTGGCCAACGTGGTGGAGAAGATGAACGAAGGTTTCCTCAGCCAGAACGACCGGAGGTAAAAGGCTGTTTGCCCTGGAGATGGGGCTGTGCTGGGCCCCTCCGAGGGCTGCAGGATGGGGCCCCTGCCTCTGGTCCTGGTGCCAGCACTGTCTTGCCTTCCTGCCCACAACCCAAATCCACCCCTGCTGGTCCCGGGAGCCTGGCGAGGAAACCAGATAACGGCTCAGCCCTGCTCCAGCCCCTCCTGTGCCGCTAGGAAAATATCCGAGGGGCTGGAGATGGCCCCACGATAGGGGCAGCCGCCTGAGTCACGGTATTATTTTTAGGTGGGTGGGTTCCTGGTGCTTCCTGAGCAAACACAGATCCCTGTGGGACAGAGTTCCGCCCTGCCAGCACGGCCCGCGTGGGTCCCGCGGGGGTGGCCAAGGAGGCTGAGGTGTTACATGCAAAATCCCTGGCATGAGCCACGAGCAAAGGCCCTGGAACTCCCCCTGGCACATACAGGGGCTGTGGAACCAGCCGTTAGCCTCCAGCAGGACTGGAGGGTTAGCGTTTCCCTGGAAGGCTCCTGAGCCCTAACGTGGACTCTTTGGTCCCCCAAAACCCACTGGCATCGTTGCAGGGACCTGAGTCTGGGCAGGTGAGCAGCCCCCAGCCCACTTGCACCGTGCCCCTTTGCAGGTTTGTGATCCAGCTGCTGGAGGACTTGGTGTTCTTCGTCAGCGATGTCCCCAACAATGGCCAGAACGTGCTGGACATCGTGGTGACCAAGCCCAACCGGGAGCGGCAGAAGCTGATGCGGGAGCAGAACATCCTGAAGCAGGTGAGTCCCCTGGGGCCCTGTGTCCCAGCACGGCCCTGGGGGGACGTCCTGTCCTGCCCAGAGCCACACAGGGGGACAGAGGTCAGGAAAGCCCCATGGAGGAGGGGCTCATGCCCCAGGGATGCACTAGGGATGCACCAGGCCTGGTGTCCAGCCGTGCGTGGAGGTGATGGCGTGAAGCAGCACTTACCATCTGTGCTTTTGGGCAGATCTTTGGGATCCTG